TTTTTCACTGTTTTTTTTTTTTAAATCTCCTTTCAAATACACTTGTTAGCTCCAGATGTAACATTTTATTCTGAAACCGGATTTTCCAAGTTCCCAATCAGATGTCCAATAAGAAGGTGAGCTGAAAGATATTATCCGTTTAAAAATGTTCAACAGAACCTAATTTCAAAATATCCTGAACTATCCCTTTAAGGACTCGCTGACTTTTTGCTAATTCCATCAAATCGTGATGTGTCCGCCAGCCACAGATCATTATGTAAGACAGCTGCCGCGGCCGTGACGTGTTGCGCATATCATGTATGTGAAGGGAGCCACGGCAGACTTTTAATACTTTTCAGCTGAGCTCATTACCACAGCACACACTTATAACATTAGCCACACAGCACTCTCTTAACACACACACACACACACACAGCAAAAAGCTATTGATGCAGTGAGGGTGACGCCAATGGGAGTGGTGTTTCCATGGCGACCCCGGCGACAGAAGGAATAGGGGGTCTGCCTCCTGACCCTCATTGAGAAGGTGAATGAGTGTCACCGAGCCGAAGGAGAACAGGCAGCAGACACAATGGCGCGGACAGGAGAGCGGAGGCAGCAGCAGCAGCAGCCGCCGCCATGTCAGCCCCGTCACGGCTGTGGGCCGCAGCGGTCAGTCGAAGGCACTTCACATTAGCATCAGAAAGACATTATGCTAATTTCATCAAAAGCAGCAGCCCCCACCCCACCCCCCTGCATTTGTGTTTCCTGCACCAAACCCAAGGGCACCATGGTTTTTTTTTTTTTTTTTTTTTACATTTCAACTGCCGCACCAGTCCGAAATACACAGAGCGCGTGGAATGATGAAATGGTCCCGGACCCGTTTCCTTCATGAAAAGCCTTTGAGTCCTCCCCGTCACGGCTGCGTCACTCGTTTTTATTTTAAAACAACTTTTACTGTGTGAACCTTTGGAAACTGTTATGTACCACTGGTAAAAGTCTTCATCTTCTGTTGGTGTGGTATAATCCCACTCACAAAAATAATTTAAAATAGCTAACTGGTGCAGTTCTAAATTTATACCTTAAAAAATTATCAGAGTTTCTGGGAACTTTTAATTAGTAAGTCATAACTTCCCATTACCCTCGGATTTAGATAAGACGCCTGTTTCTGCTTCGCGACTAGACGGGGGATTCATATTTAACTGGCCACCTCTCACAGTGAGGTAAATCCTCTCCACAGCTTACAGTTAGAAATGTGGCTTCAATATGTGCATTCTTTATGTCAGCAAACCATCATGTGTAATCGTCACGCCTGGAGTCTTTTGGGAAGCGAGCCAAGAAAAATGTTTGTCTGTCCTACCATCACAAATGTAAATGTAATATCTGGACTTTAACTGGAACTGTGTGGTCTGGACAGATAAATGTGGTGACACACTGGATGACTTTTTGCCTGATTTTATCCCCAATTCACAGTCAGGAAAAGTTAGCATCAATCTTAAGTAGTAGGGGACAGTGAGTAGGTTGAGTTGGCCAAAAAACAAAAAGACAGATGTCTGCAAGAGGGTGATGGGGTACCGCTTACCGACCCAACTGTGATGGAAATCTTAGAAATGACTCTTTGGCCCAAAATGACCCACTTCCTGTTGGTTTTAGTACTTATCATCAATCCTTTTACCTCCCCTCCCCTTGTCTTGAAGAGATCTGTGTACCAAACTTCTACATTACAGTTTAAAATTGGTTACCTTTAGGAGGCGATATAAAGCCATTTGACCACACGCTGGTTCAAATCCATTGAAATACTTACATTTCACACACTGACGTGAGTGCAAAGATTATTAAGTTGTCATATAAGCATCCAAAAAGATAACTCACTTGATGGAATAAACAAGTTACCTTTATTTAACAGCACTGTTAAATAAATTAGGAATGATGCGTCTCATGATGTTGGTGTTTCCATTCTGAAGCTAGTTTCTGTCAGGTTTACCAAATCCACCTTTTAAAATTATATTAAATAGAAAATAAAGGCAATATTGCCTTACTGAAATATTGATATGTCTATTTCATCTTGACGCGTTGGAACGGCAAACTCAGCTAATTTTATTAGGAATAAGCAAATACAAAGTAATGCAGAATTATGTACATATGTAGACATAAATTCACATTGAAGTCTATAAATTTTACAGTGCTAAATCTCCACAAAATACATTGAAGTTTGTGGTTTAATGCAACAAAACATGAAAAATGTAGAGGGATGAGTTATTTTGTAAGAAAATACAGCAAAGAGCCAAAGCAAGAAATGGAAGCAAAGTGTATTCGCCCCACCCCTTTCACCAGCTGTATCTTATTGTCGCGTTTCTCTCCTTGACCTTTTTCCGTGTTTTCAGTAAATTAAGTATTTAGAGCCTGCGGAGCATCACGCCACCCGACACCCCTCCAAACGCTCCCTTCCAGGGTGATACCTGCCTTTGTTTGTGGAAAGCTGTTTGCTCAGTGCCCTCCTTACATCCTGAAATTGGAGAAGAATGGGCTCCTCTTGCAGAGAGAAATGAAACAATGCGCGTTCTGCCAGTTTTTACCTCCATCGGCGTGGTTTATGAACTCCCCTTATCAAAGGACCAATAAAATCCAGAGAGAATCAGGGCTAACGGTAAGGTGACAAGGACCCTCCCTCTTACGAATCATTTCAATTAACCCCACTCACATCCTTGAAGGACGGGGAGAAGCAGTCTTTGGGATGAAGAGGTGTGTTTGTGAGAGTGCAGGGAAGGACAGATGAGGTAAAAGATTCTTCGAGTGAGTCATCCAGCGCACCTCGGCGCTGCATACAAAGGCATCGTTACAGTACAATACTCACTGCCTCTTCCTTTTGCTCCTCACTGCTTAGCGAAGCATCACGACGTAATGGACTCCCACGCAGCCACCCTGTGAAAGAAAAGTCGGTGGTTCTCCAGCACGAACACAAAATGGTTTTAAAGAAAAAGAAAAGCTATTTAATTTAAAATGTTTCCGATCTATCCGAATTGGCTTATTATTGGAGTGAAAAGGGCGCCCTTGACTGCTGCAGCTCCGGTCGGAATGCTTTCATCCACAATCTGAAAGGAAGGCCAAAGGGTGAGGCAAAACTAAGAGCAAAATGAATAACAGAGAAATGCAGGACGATCAATGATGAGCAATGTGCTTTGGCTTAAAACTGGAACTGTTTACATCACCGCTGAAGAGCGAGTACGCGAGGTGATTGTAGAAAGTTTACTTCTCGAGTTAGAGCAACAGATAGCGGATTACCATGAAGCAGAATTAAAATGATACATGGTTTCTATCCTGGTTTTCGTTCTAGTCATGGAACACTGGACCAGATCCCAGCTACCAGTCTACATGTGATTTGTAAACTTGGAAAAGGTGTTCAATCATGTCCCTAGAAGAATCCCATGGGTGGTACTCTGGGACTAAGAGGTACCAGGTCCCTGTATGATCTGTGTCAAAACTTGGTCCGCATTGCTGGCAGTAACGTTTGTTTTAGGTGACAGCTGGATGTCAAGGTTGCCCTTTGTCACCGATTCTATTTATAACTTTTATGGACAGAACTTCTAGGTGCAGCCAAAGTGTTGAGGAAATCCATTTGGTGGCCTCAGGATCATGTTTCTGCCCTTTGGCTTCATCAGGTTGAGATCTACAGCTTTCCCTGGAGCGGTTTGCAGCAAAGTTTGAAGCAACCAGGATAAGAATTGGTGCGTCCAAATCTGAGATAATGAAAAGGAAAAGGGTAGAGTGCCTTCTCCAGGTTGAGGAAGAAGTCCTTCCTCAAGCTGAGGAGTTTAAGTATCTCAGAGACTTGTTCACGAATGAGGGAAAAGTAGTGCAGGAGATGGATAGGCGGTTTGGTGCAGCATCTGCAGTGATGAGGATGCTGTAACGGTCTGTCATAATGTAGTGACAGAAACACCAATTAAGCTTTCTTTCAAGACTTTTAGTGAACTGCATCCGTCTTTTGGCTTTCTTTCAACCACTTGTGTAGTGGTTGAAAGTGTGTAGTGTAGTGTGTTCATAGATCCTCGCACCTAAGCGGTAAATCTTCGCAGCTCACCCAGAGTGAACATAGGCTTCTTAGCTTCTTCTTACATTAATCCTCTCATTGCTCAACCCATCAGTTTAGGCAGATTATAAGGTGACCTACAAAGGCAGTCGTCTACACTACCCAACTCTAGTCTCCAAGTAAAGGATACATTATTCATATATATAAATGTCAGTTTTTGTTTTGAAAAAATGTTGAGAAACATCAACACTTTCTCCTCCAGAACAACTTTTTGTTGGTCTTTCACACTAAATCCCAATAGAATACAAAGAGGTTTGAGGTTGGAACGTGAAACAGGGCTTTGTACGTCACCAGGCAATAACAGGGCTCATTTTCCTCCTCCTCCTGTCTCGGAGTATCAGGCCTCAGGGGTCAGGTGAAGCTGACGCTGTGGTTAATCCCTTAAGGTGGAGGCACACTGCGCTGTTAGCAACAGGATGACGCAGCCTCGTCTATCTCTGTGCGTCCATCTCTCTGTTTCAGCGCTGCAGACTTTTACAGGCCAGATATAGTTTCACACAAGGTGCAACCCGAGCCGAACAATCCTAACGACGTCAAAGGCAGATCTGTGGAGGGTACATTGCCTCTTTTTCTTAAACTTTTAAATAACGTCTTGTATATTTCTCAAATGATCTGCACAGCTATAAATCCTGTCTTTTAAAATTATATAGTTTTAATAAAAACAAATTTTAATTGGAAATGTAAAAAAGTTACACTTTCATGTAGGCATGAGCCAATATTCTCAAAGTATGATTTTCAGTAAAAATATGTACTAACATTTTTGTGCAAACACAAATGCTATTTCTATTGCTTTTAAAATTTCAATAGTTACGTTATCTACATTTTTTTTAAACGTTTGATTAAAGACAAGATTCACATCATTTAAAGCTCATTACAGAGCTACAGAATATATAGTAAAGTTAATGAACATGTTTCTGTCAAAGAAAAGATCCAATTTATCTTCAAAGAATTTATTTCCTCGTACTTTACAAATGCTACCGTTTCAGCATACAAAAAATGGATTTAATAAACATTACAATATAAACACGTGACAAAGATTGTACGCTGAGGCACAAAGTTATTGTCAAAAAACATCTCCATTCAATCACCATGGCCTTTAGTATCCTGAGCTTGATACAAAATCTCATGAGTTTGCACAATGATAAAGAAGCGTTATAAAAAATACAGGTATAAATATACAGTTTGTGAACCCGACGGAGTCTCTTCCCTAATACTTAGATGAGCTGTGGAACGTTTCTCTCTGTAAAACTTAAAGCTGAATGAAGAAAATGAGTTCACACTCTCACAACACATCCAAGGCGTTAAAGTGACATTTCTCCAAAAAAAAAAAAAAAAAAAGGTTTTAAATAAGTTTCAATCTACAAGAAGGTAATGGCTGACGGGGCCGGGGTTCTGCTCTGACCTACGACCTTCATCACCGTCAACAGCCGCACGATGTGCAGCAGAAATGAGAAGCGTTCTAGATCTTCATTCAGACCTTCCATACAGGACGGGTCACAGGGTGAAGGTCGGGGAGAGGGTCGTGAGCTGCAGACACTAGGAAGGCCCATCTTCTCCACGTATATCCTTGTATTTGGCCATTTCCTCGGGAAAAACTTTGCTGAGCTCGGAAATCAAGAGGCTCTTGAATTTCTACAGCGAAAAAAAAACAAACAAACAAAAAAAACAATAGAAGACAAAGTAATAGTGATCTAAAAATCCTGGTGATTTTAGAATGAAGACAGTGACGGTTCTGGTGAGAAGATGATCTTCTCTCAACATAATCAGGAATGTCAGATTCGTTTTAGGATTTTATAGATTTTGCGAAATACCAGCGTTTTTTAGTCAAAACAAAAGAAATTAATGTAATTTTGATTTGCTCTTTTTCTGTTGCCGTCGCCATGGGTGACGGTCATTTCACCTCTTCAGCTTTTTCTATCTTTCTATCTTTCTATCAGTTTCTTCAACCCTCCTCTCCTCTTTCTGCCATTTTAATTTGAGCAGAAAGCACAAAGTATGTGAGATCCACCGTCGGGAGAAATTACAACATACTTGCAAAGTGGAATGTGCCAAAAAGAAAGTATAAAACAAGCTTTGTCTTGAAGATTGCATTGTTTTTGTGACCATTTGGAGCCAGAATCAGATAAATTACTTTGGGAAGGCAATGCCAGCAGCCTGCTTTCATTGGCTACAATGACGAGAATAATGTTAGGAGAAGTTGTGGTGAGGAATTGGCACCAGCTAGTATATTTTTAAGCTAACCAGCTTCTAAGAACTCTACATTTTTGCAAATAAAAGTCAAGTAAAGACTCAGTTATTTCAGTATTTGGATCTGTCAATGGCTAAGTTGAAGGTATAAGACAGTTAACCAGATATCAGTAAATATAGGATCAGGTTTGAATGTGTGATCTAATCCTATGGCAAAGAAGAGTTTTTTTTAAAAATACAACTATATGTTGTAACTTTTTTTTTTTACTTTTGTGCCCAATTCTTGTTTGTAAAATTCACTCAAGTTCTTATTTTAGCCATCCAAAAATACCCAGAAGGCATAGAAAGAAAGAAAAAATAAAATAAAACCTGAAATAAATAGGAACAGTAATATGCTGATAACCTTTTTATGGGACATTTTACACATTTTTGCGCTTGTTTAGTCAATTTCTAACCATTATATTAATAGTCTGACTCAGAAAAAAATGACATCTCTGTAGGATGAACAGATGTATAGACAGATGGATGGCGTGACTTTTTGAGAATAAATTCAATACAAATACTTTCCTTGCCCTATCTTTCTCAATACTTAACCAGTTCTGGAAACACTGACATCAAATCCCAGACCTTTGCAGGTTTTTTTTCCACTGTAACGTCGGTGTCCTCGCTATAATCTCTTACCGTCATGGTGTCTATCTTTCCTTTGACCTGCTCGTTCCTTGCCAAGGCTCTCTCCAGACATTCCTTGGTGTACAGCTGTGGGTTTCGGCCTTGGTCGATGTACCTTTGGAAAAGCAGGGTTTAACATGAAATCATGACAAGACCTGGCACAGATAAAGCACAAACTTGATGATTTTAGTAAATGTTTTGTGTACATCCGCAGGCCGAATGTTTTTTTACTGGTATGAAAGATGAATAGTAAATTTATGTTTCATTTGGATCTGAAGAAACACCCGAAAGTGATTATGATCTTAAATTGGCTAATTTTGTTATGGAGTTCGGCGTGGTTTTACACAGCATCACAGGTTTTAACTGCGTCGCAGTAAGAAAGGGGAGTTTTTCTCTCCTATTTGTATAAAAAGGAAGCTGAATTGTAACAATGTGCAACAGAACAATCTACATGACTCACTCGAACACCTCCAGAGGGACGTTGATGTCATGAAGCTGCTTTTGGCACTTATCGATGTCTTGTAGCCCGGATATCATGAAGTTCCTGGAGGGAGTGGTGAATGGAGCGGCTCAACATGAAGCTTTCTACCGAAAGACTGTCTTTAAATGAAGCTAGTATGAAGCTAACTCACAGTTTCTGGTTCAGAACCGCCTGGCTGCTCGGCTGGAAGTCGCTGACGATGATTCCCAGCTGCCGAATGTTCTCGATGAATTTCTCCAGGTGCTCCTCGAGATTGTCGAACTTTTCAGCCATTTTGATGCTTTTAACAAATAAACCGGCTCCAACAGCGACGTGTCAAAAACGCCGCCACTAAATTATCGGTGTTTACTGTTTAGCCACCTAAACTAGGACAAGCAGAACGCCGCTACGCTTTACGGTCTGCAGCCAGCCAATCGCTGGTGAGAGCCAGCTGTCTACGCAATTGTGTTACCTCGGAAACAAGTGGTAAAGGGTTGTCGTATTGTGTCGCAAAGTGTCGCGCCGCTTGAGAGAAGGGCTGCTCTTTGTTAATGAGACGGATGAAGTTTAGATTCAACACATTTGAAATTATTATGCTTTAAAAATAGTATCCCAGTTAATATTACAGCGTTAAATTCAAAAAGAAATGACGTTTACAGGGTTTATGAAATAATCTGTGGTGTTTCAATTAAATTCAGAATTGACATTTTATTAAACACATTTAATATTACTAATTAAATTAATAATTAATTAATATGATTAACTCCAGAGGGAAATTAAATATCGTTGCTCATGGCTGTGAGCTGGAAGGACTGCCTGTAGCAGTCAGTATTACAGGGCATATGAAGAAGCCTCTGACTGAAGATACTCACATTGTATAAGAGTCTCACGAAGAGGACACTCAGGATTGTCCTTTTTTTCATTTAATGAAAAATCCTTTGTAAATTTAATAATCATAGACAATTATGATTACTGTTAGAAAACATGATTCACATTTCCCTTAAGGAATTTCCAATCAAATATTTTGACTTCATTTATTTATTTTTGATGGATTTTGAATACACTTCATGCTTGAATAGATGAGACAAACAACAACAACAAAACAGAATATTGCACTGTCAGCTAAATTGTCAAGTTGATTATTTTCTACAGAAATTTCCAGTAAATTTTTGGCCACTATAAACAATGCTGATTAGTTTGGAGGCCATGTACATAAAGTATACTGCTCAAAAAAATAAAGGGAACATTTCACTTTAATTTTGTGTGTGGCTCCAAATCCAGGCCTCATTGGTTAATAAATTTGATTTCCATTGATGATTTTTGTGTGGTTTTGTTGTCAGCACATTCAACTTTGTACAGAACAAAGTATTCAATGAGAATATTTCATTCATTCAGATCTAGGATGTGTTATTTGAGTGTTCCCTTTATTTTTTTTGAGCAGTGTATTTACAGTCATCTAGTGATCAGGGGTCAGCCAGGCCCTGCCATGAACAAAAGGTTTCCAAAAAAAAAAAGATACATAAGTCAAAAAAAAGCCAAACGTTTTCTCTATTACAAAATCAGATTTTGTAATAGAGAAATGCTATATTTCCATTTCAAATTTTAAATTTGAAATACAAAAGTAAATATTGATTATAGCACAGTGACGCAGAGCTGTTGCCTTGCAGCAAGAAGGTTCTGGGTTCGATTCCCAGCCTGGGGTCTTTTTGTATAGAGTTTGTATGTTCTCCCTGTGCATGCGTGGGTTTTCTCCAGGAAACCCTTCCACCCACAGTCCAAAAACATGACTGTCAGGTTAATTGGCCTCTCTAAATCCTCCCTAGGTGTGTGTGTGTGCATGGTTGTCTGTCTCTGTGTTGCCCTGTGACAGACTGGCAACCTGTCCAGGGTGACCCCGCCCCACTAAGGGAAAAGGGTGTATAGAAAATGGATGGATGGATCTTGATTACAGACATTTTTCCTGCACATAACCCATAAAGTAAAACCAAAAGACAGAAGTAAACATCGACCTATTTGACATAAAAAGTGAGTTCAGGTTGAGCTGGTTAAAAAACTAAATAGGAAGTACTATTTTGATTTTATTTAAATTGTTTGGTGAAACTGTCTTCATACTCCTTCCTGCTCTTTGCTAAGCTCCAGAATAACGCTGACCCCTTGCTGCATTGTTATTTTCTATTCTGAAGTGCACTGGGATCCACTGAGCTGGGAACAAAACCAAAAGGCTCAAAGTGAACATTTGTGAAGTTGACTTTGCTCGGTTTTGCTTTGATAGTTCCCTTCCTGCCAAAAACACAGTTTCAAAGAAACACCACAGATAAGCTGAGCTGAACAGGACGCCAGCTGTCCTTTGAAATCAAACTAAGGAAAGATCGTGCTGCTAGATTTAGATATTTGGGAGCCTTAAATATCCAAATTCCATGAGCGCTTTTAGTCCAGTGACAAATTAGAAACCCATTCAATAAATCAGAATATTACTGAAAACCCATTTATTTCACCTCAAACACTTATATGGGTTTTTGAAAGTCTTTACTCCTGCTGATTACAGTCATTGTCTACTTACAGGTAATGAAACCATGTCATTTAAAATTTGAAAGTTACATCAAAGCAATCAAAAAAAGGTACTTTTCTGACAAACGAACCTCATTTGAGCAAATATTGAAATTTATGAAATGTGATTGTATAATAAAATGCTAATTTATAGTTAGCTCATTTTAGAAAGTGTGGAAATGTACTTCTCTATTTTCTTTTCCCACACTTATCCAGACTCAAACAGAGCCGGCCTAAGACATGTGCGATGTAAGCGGCTGCTTAGCGCGTTCCCCACCTCCAACACCACCAGGGGGCTCCCAAGAACATCATTTTATTTTGTAGCGTTAGTTGGCACATTTTCCGCATTCTACACATCTGTTCCAAATTTTAAAAACAAAAAACATTAAACCTGCTAACTTATTTACTGTAAACTAAGCATTTGTCTAATTAATTGAGCATCTTTGCTACTCCTGCAAGGTTCTAATCGATAGTAACTAGTCAAACCAAAATGTCATCTGCTGTTGACATTTGGAATGGGCGGGGGTCAGGGGGTCAGGGGGGGTTAAAATCTGCTCACTGCCCCAAAAATATTTGGGGACAACCCTGCCTGGAAACCCTTGAATTAACTTCCAGCCTTTTCCAGACTCTAAAGGAACCCAGAGGCTTTTATTTTGAAAATCAGTACTCCCACCGGTGAGCACAGACGCTGCTAAGGAGAAGAGAAGGATTTACTGTCTGTGTGTGTGTGTTTCATCCACGGTTGCATTAAAGCAGGAGCTGCTGCAGCTGCACACACACATCGAACTTCCTCCTCCTCCTCCTCTCTCTCGTTCTACCTCCTCCTCTTCTTCATCACTGCAGCTCTCGCCGACGGCAGGTCCACTGGATGGTGGAGCCCTCTTTTTCCTCCCTTCATCATATATACACACAAACACACACACAGAGCGAGATTGAGAGAGAGAGAGAGAGAGAGAGAGAGAGAGACCGACAGACCGACACACTCACGCAGGACCGCGGGATCGCTGTCCGGGCTGTAGTTCGGGACGCGCGGGAGACTCCACGCATTCTCCGGATTTCAGCGGACCTCGGTAACCTCAGGCTCCCTCTCCATCTGTCGGACTGCTGCTTTTAAAGTGCTGGTTGTGTTTGAGGCGGAGCGACACAGAAAAGAAGAGCGGACAACTTGATAATAGGCAATTGAACTGATTAGATGATAGGCCTTATGTGGATTTGTCAAAGGTACAGGCGTTGATTTTTAATAATTTTTTTTAAACCATGATCGATTTAAACTGACTATTGGCATTTTTTAGTAGACATTCGTTAATTATGTTCCTTTGCCTTCCTGTAACCATGACATCATCTTCCTTTGATTCTTTTTTTTTTTTTTTTCCTTTTGTACGCGCTGATGATGAAGCGTACACTGTCCTGTAGAAATGGATTATCACCTAATTGCTTCTGCGGAACGCATCGTCCTATCGTGACACAACTGCAGTCATAATGTCGATCGGTTTATGTGAAGGAGGAAGGCGGGTTAGATCGGATGTTCTGCTTGGTGTTACTAGTGGATTTAATTGTCTTGATGGTGTTTTTTTCTGCCTACAGATGAACCGCGTCGAGACGATGCGCTGAGACGCAAACGGCCCAGGCTCTCCGGTTGTGCGCTCATCCAGAGGCTGCAGCTAACGGAGAGAGAGAGAGAGAAGGGTGGACTGCGGAAGAAAAGAGAGAGGGGAAGAAAAAAAAAGCCAAGAGGTTTCTGCTCCATAAAGGTTGTGCCTGACTCAAAAAGGAGCGAGTCTCGCCCCTGGAACAGGGGGCGGATCAGCGGAGAGGTAGAAGTCTATCCAAACGATGGCCACCCTACTGCGGAAGATCGGTCTGATCCGTCTGCACGACCGAGACACGGAGGACCCGAAGCACCACCAGGGCTCGCTGAAGGGGACCAAGGGGAACCAGAAGAACAACGCCAACAAACACTGTCAGACCGCCAACGAGACCAACCTGCTGAGCACCCCGGAGATCAAGGCGAGGAAGCTGGACCAGCACGGCAAGGACAAGCAGGGCAAGGATGCGAAGGAGAAGCAGCAGACGGTGGGTGGAGGCGGAGGTGGCGGCGGAGGAGGAGGTGGCGGCGGCGGGAGCAAAGCCTCCAGCGCCTCCTCCGTGCCGCCACTGGCGCCCCACCGGCAGCACTGCACCCAGGTGCGGACGCGGCGGCTGATGAAGGAGCTGCAGGAGATCCGGAGGTTAGGGGACAACTTCATCACGGTGGAGCTGGTGGAGGACAACCTGTTCGACTGGAACGTCAAGCTGCACCAGGTGGACAAGGACTCGGCGCTGTGGCAGGACATGAAGGAGACCAGCACCGAGTTCATCCTGCTCAACGTCACCTTCCCCGACAACTTCCCCTTCTCGCCGCCGTTCATGCGGGTCCTCACGCCGCGCCTGGAGAACGGCTACGTCCTGGACGGCGGGGCCATCTGCATGGAGCTGCTGACCCCCCGCGGGTGGTCCAGCGCCTACACGGTGGAGGCGGTGATGAGGCAGTTCGCTGCCAGCCTTGTAAAAGGACAGGTGAGCGGGGGTCGGTGCTCGGAGCGCTTCTGCGGCCCATCAGACACATTAACGATCTCTAGGGCAGGATGGGGGCAGTTCGGTCAGGAATTCAGGCGAAAATTACACTTTGAATGTATTTTTTTTTTAAGACTACAGAGGGCAAGCGCAAATCCTGGAGATTTACTTGTCAGCCAGTGTGCATTGTTTTAATATGATTTTAAGGTGGGCGAGTACGTATTTTGATAACTTTGTTTTTATGTTTGTTTTGTGTATCATTCAGAGACTGCCCCTTTATTTACTGTTATATTGCCCCCCATTTGGTCGTTTAATTTTGGTATCACCAATAAGTACAAAGCCAACTTTAGTTAGAGGTTTTAAGGGTTGGCCACAAGAGGGCCATTAACAATCTTGCGGAGGTACAACAAAACCCAAAAATGTAATATCAGCAGATTTTCTTGGTTTGATTTTAGAGATGTTGCTTTATTGGAGCTTGAGCATTTAAGTTTGATGAGTTCAGGTTGGAATGCTTTCACAAATTAGGCATCAAGCTATTTTCAGACACAATATAATCAAGCGGCCATCGAGGCAGGGCAAGGTGGGCGTCAATGGCCAACGCAAACCCTCCACCTGGACAGTCTTATAAGTATGGCGTATTGACATACATTTAAGTTTAGAGAGCACATGATTTAATACATTACAATTACTAAAAACAGTTTCCACTGACAGTGTTTCTGAAATGACCTCAACGCAAAAGCTTTCAAAATGAAAAATCAGCATGATGGCTAGTAACTGATAAACTTCCTACCTGAACTTCACCATGTGATGACACTACATGATCACAGAAAGTTCTGGTGTAGCTTTTCACTCTGGTGTGCCACTCAGATTATCAGGGGCCCCAGTTGGCCACCTTGAGGCACCCCTGAATAGAATCCTAACTAAACTGAATGATTTATTCACCGAAGTATTTATTTATCAATCTGTAACTCAAAAATAAGCAACCAGCTTAAAATGAGGAGCCAACCTTATTTCTGACAGCTTTCCTCCGAGACAAATTTGTCTTAAAAACTCAGAATATCATCACGAGTATGATTTCACCATTACACTTTAAAATAAATTAAACAGGTTTGCTTCTAAGACACTTTGTGTATCTTTCATAGCTCAGTTTATTAACTCTAGGTTGCTACACACTAATCAGATCTTGTTTCTCCTGCAAGCAAAAGCCAAAACTGTAGCACATATTAAATTTATGTGACTTTATGGCAGCCATTTCATGCAGTGCATCCATGCTGGCTCTCCTCTCATCACCTCCATAAATCAGCAGGGTTTGACTACAAAGACCCGCCGCCATGACACAGAAACATCCGCCTGCGGTTTTCCACCGCGCTTCTCATGAGCATTCGCACTTAGCATTGCGCTAAAATAAAGCGATTTATTCAACACGTGACGATGGACGGAGAGACAGATGGAGGTGTACAGACAGCAACTATGTAGCCTACGGTTGTCCTCGGTGATTTAGGCTGACTGGATTATGTAATCTTGCCAAATCTGTTTTTCATATCCCCTGAGCGCTGGCAGCGGCGCACAGCAGCAGCTCCGCAGTTCCGGTGGAATCGGCAGCAAGGACTTACGCGCTCAAACGCTACGACTTTTCAAAACGGACATGTTTTTTGAAAAGCATTCACATAATTTTAAGCCAAGAGACCTCTCTTTTTTTATTTTCTCCCTTGCTTTGCTCTGAGTGCTTTGGTGTTAGATCTTACAGAAAGTGTCATGGAGACTCTCCTATCCTCCGCCCCCACCACCATCCCACAGAGCTTTGGTGACATAACGCAGCATTATTCCAGAGTCATCTGTGGTCATAAAGCACGTGTGCTCAAGAGAGGTCATACAGAAGCTGTGGCCACTTCAGAGAGAGCGAGAAAAAATGTGTGCGCGAGTGTTTGTATGCGTTGATCTTGACTTGCTGCTTGAGGAGATGAGCAAGCAGCTCTGCAGCGTTCACTAATTATGGTACAGCATCTTCCTTCGTCTCTGCTTTGCTAATGGAAACAATATTGATTAATTATTCCTGTGTGTGTGTGTGTGTGTGTGTGTGTGTGTGTGTGCATTGCTTTATCTCTTTGTTGACGTGTCTACATCAGCACTTGGGATGTGCTGCGTCCTGATTACCCAGGCGATGCTTTCGACTCCCATGCATCATGTCCGACCAAGCACACAGAGCTCTATATATACCTGGACACACAGGATATATTTATCTGCCCTTGGCCACAGGCTCCATGTGACAATAGTGATGCCACCCGTTTAGAAAGTTCCTGCCTATTTTTAGTGTGAGAGGATACATGCGGTGACACAGCGCCGAGTCGAGAGTCAACACTGTCTCTTCGCAAGCAGACGCACGCATGGTTCCACGTGTTGATGTCTGTGGACAGGTATCTAACTTCCGGTTAGGAACCCAATTATGTTTCCTGTGTCTGGGTAAACAACCACCTCCCCAATGGTGTGCAGCAGGTAGAAACCTCCAGTCTGGGGAGCACAAACACAGCCGAGGTGTCTTCGTAACACAATCCAATTTGGTAATCCGATCTGTGCTGCTGCGTTGTTGTGAGTGCACAAGTGTTTAACGATACACCTGTGTATGGAGTTGTGCAATAGTTAATTTGATACGGTGCAACTGGCTCCACTCTCTTGTCACTCTTTACTGCAGACAGATCCTAATAGAGTTTTTAAGTAGCACATATTAAACTCCATACCGCTGACTCGAGAAATGTCACACAGGCGTAAAGACGGCTTGGTGCTTGGATGAACGATTTCTATGGAAATTAAATTAAGTCAGCTGTCAGGGTTTTTTTTGACTGCTGCATATGTTGGCATATTTAAGTACGTGTCAATTTGAATGTGCTGCAATTTTGGATAGTGAGTTTGTATTGGTAGGAAGGGGGTAACATTCCTCGTTCTGCATCCAGACAGGGTATGGTATCTTCGTATGATGGAAGCTCAATGCTCCTTAAATAGAGCGAGTGACCTCAAGTGCCCAAATAATTATTGGTCAAACAATTCAGAATGAGCTCAGTTCATAAATCTTCATTGGTACAGACTGAGCATTTGCATGGTTTGGCATGAGATAAAGTATAACACTTTAAGAAGTGACAGTTTGTAAACTATGTGGCAGTGACACTTATGTGTGGTGAACATGACATTCCATAATTTATTTTGGTAAGTTACAAACATTTGTGGTAGCTTGGGTTAGTCAGTGATCAAAATGCATGTGCTGCAGTATCAAATTCATAGAAAGGTGATACTGATGGGTTGAATGTAGTTGGTTTCTTTTTCAAGTATATTGCACTAAACACACTTCAAAATACTAAAAATGTAACTTCTGGATAAATGGACACTGGTGGCAATAACCCTCAAGAGATGATAGCGTGACTAGAGTGTCTGATCAGGCTACATTTAGGGCATTTTCTGCCAGTTTTACTGCTACTGTCTTGACTAAACTGGATTGGGAAGAGATAAATAAGACTGTCTTATCAGGAAGCTACAGATGGTATCTTTCAATAAAACTCTGGTTTTCCTAGAGGACTTTTCCTCTCCAAACAAAATTGTGTTGACATGTTGCAGAAAAGATGACATTGCCTTCCATCTAAATAACATTTAAAGTTGACTGAAAAGCGAAATGTGAATACAACATTCACGTTTAAATGCGGTTTGGAGGTGGCAGATGGTTCAATCAGACTGGACAACCAAGTCTGACTTTTAATATGACTTAAAAAGCCCAGTTTTGACCAACCTTGCTTTGAAAGACGTCCACAGACGTTCAGGATTTCAGAGCGTTGTTTTAAACGATTATTCTGCATGGCAGAGTCAATATCAAAAGGGTTTATCTTGTTTTTAAAATTTGGAGGACACCTTGAGCTAGAAGAACTGTTTTCACAAGAACAATATCCAATTGATGATGTGGAAATAGAAGTTGAAAAAAATGGCACTCTTTAGACGTGTTTTTGATTCCCTTTTCAACTGTTTCGCTTTTCATGCAATTAATTTTATTTCAAAGAAAACAGCTGTTTACCACTGAATGAGCATTCGACAGTATCATGGGGCTACTGAACTCGTGATGGCATCGATCCCCCTAGCTGTGTATCCCAACCTCGGGAGCACATGTCCGCATTATGCAACCCGACCCTAAGAGCTACCTCCCAACATGCATTGGGGCCTTCCCTGCTCTGCCCAGCCCATTGACTGATCTCCATTCACACGATTACCCAACAGCCACTCTACACTAGAGTGTGTCCCTCTCAATGAGCGAGCGCTTAGCTGAGCAGGATAAACACTGGCATGGCACAGCGTCCGCCTGTGGCGTTCGCTGAATCACAACACACACTGGCGCGGGAAAACACACACACACACACACACACCTTGTATTCCACCTACCATCTCTTTCAAACTCTGGCTAATTATGGTGGATTTTGTTTAGGATGCAGAAACAGATGCTTGGCTTTTTCGTAAATTGGACAAATCAAAGCCTATCAACTGGAATCCTTTATCAGCTTCACTGGTGTTCTAATTCTTCAATAGTAAGACGTCAGAATAATGATAATAGGAGGCAGCAGGCTGTCATTTTGAGGCTTACGATTCGTTTGCATTGAACATTTAAATCAACATTTTTCAGCCTCAACTTGAGGCTAAGCAGGTTTTAAACACAGGTGGCCCCATGTTGTTTAGGTTTTACATGATCTGGTGGGGCATTTGAGAAAAAATGAAGATGTCATTTAATGTGGCTTTATGAAAAGGAGGACCACAAAGCAAGTTCCCAAGCACCACTGCAATATAATGTCTGTCTGAATGAGTCACCCAGTGAGTCATGCATTTATTTTTCCAAAACAAATGACATAAAAAAAAAACTCCTACTGTTTGTCATTGCGGCGCTAATAGGCTTCAGACATCATCTTACTGTCCACAGTGACACTACTCACCCATCTGTGCATTAACCTGGCTTCATTTAATGATTCAAAATTCCACATTAAAATGAATTGAATCGCCCTGATGGACTATCTAATCGGAGAATTAATAGGCCACGTTCGGCGCTGCTGAGACGCGTTGGCAGGGATGTATGTGAGCGTCTCTAAGCCCTGCGGTGAAACGAGGCCACCGTTGCTACAAGAATGGAAACTGCAGCCCTAATCTCCAGATCATTCTGTTAGCACCTCATCCCCTTTTATCCGCTGCGTAGCTTTTGGCCCAAAATAGCCAAGCAGGGACATATTAGGGCACACTGGTATTCCATCAGATGGCAATAGAATATTCCATGAAGTGTCTCACTGCAGCATGGTAATAAAGTCCTAAAATCAAATTTTAATTAACAGATTTTCACTCTCCAGTTAGATAGATAGATAGATAACTCTATCTATCTATCTATCTATCTATCTATCTATCTATCTATCTATCTATCTACATAGATAGATAGATATCTAAGAACTGTTGGGTTAGCTAGCTAGACTGTAAATTACACCATAACGCCTGTTAGTAAAACAAAGACACCAAAAGAACATACAAGACTGCCAAAAGAATGGCAGTTCTTTGAAAGAAAGCATTGAAAACATATTTAATTTTTAAAATTATCTCCAACTTTATTCAACTGCTTTGTAAAGTTATACAAGGCCATAGGAAGCATAGGGAACATGGATATTAGGTACGTTCTCTCCACAATCTCATCATTCTCGCTTTACCGGATCTTCGTTTACTTAATTTCCACGCATCCACAAACTATGCGTCAGATTTCCAGGACTACTGCTTATGAGGTAATTTGACACAAATTTATGTTTTGGAAATTGGCCTGAAAATGTGAACAATTGCAGCAGCGAGAGAAACGGTATGTTTAAAATTTTAAATGTGTAAACTTTTAAGGGCATAGAATGTACTACTTTAACGTTCATTTTGTCTATGACTGTTTTTAGGGTATTAGTGTAGAACCTCTTCAAAATAATAGTCAGTTTTATGAACATCTGCATGAAACAATATGCTCCTATGTTCAGTGGGTGGTGCATTTTTATTCTACTAAAACACCACCTAGCCCAGAGCATGTGGAGTAAATATTGGATTTTTCAGGCAAATTACAATTGTCAGATTTAGCTAAATTTTGCTCAAATAAGTTTCACTAGATCTAATACCCAACCCCAGTGTAAATGGGCCCAACTTAGTTCAGGAATGCATGAATTGTGTGTGAAGGAAAACCTTTCCAAATGAGATCCTTCGAGTTCACAACAGCAACTAACATAATTTAAAGTTCACTTTAAACAATGTTTCATAAAAGGTGTGAAATAAAAAGTTTATGCATAAATACGGCTCATATTTCAAAATAAAAGGTGCTACTACTGCCCTTACTTACTGACCTGCTTACTATTCTGTTTTTTCTAGAAGGATAGCTTTTCTTCATTTTTTTAATACTTTAAACACTTGGAAGGTATTTAGAGAGCCAATTAACAGTTTCACCTCATCCAATGTTTTTCTACCATTTAAAAGAACATAAAGATGCATTTTAGAAACTCATGAATGTAGTTTATTTTGAAGGTCAAGAGTAAGCGTCATGGTTTAGGGTTCAGGCTTCAGATTGTGTGGCAAAGTTACCAGTTTCGATTTGACCTAAACATATCCTCAGGTGATCTTTGATACCTGGCATACTTTTTATTTATTTATTGTAGAATCACAGCTTAAATTCAAACACAAAATCACTACAAAAGCAGAATATGTCATTTGAACTGTTGTCCCTACTGCAAATAAAAAAATGGGTCATCAGAATCCTGCACAAAGGATCTGCACATGCTTTCTCTATCTGTTGGCAGTTTTAGCTCTGCTTCATAGATGTTAAGACTTACACACTTTAAAGACAAATATTCAAACCAAATCTGTATTTTTATACAATTGAGCACAAGAGACGTGTTTCTTTAACAACTAGCAGAAAAATAAAACGCTTCAATAGTAGTTTATGACCTTTCTGTGCGGCTTTAGAGTGACGCCTCCTTCCCTGGCTCCTGAGCGTGGCAGCGCAGGAGTGCGCGGTGATGTGTGATGATACGGGGTTGCTGCTGCTCTGCGCCGCACCGCACTGCAGCATGCAGAGGACCTAACCTCTGAGGAAATTTCATTAGTATCGGTTTCGGCGCAAAGACTCGATGCCACTTTCCTCTGCCAAGAAGAAAAAACATGCCTGGCGAGAAGAAATGATGCAGCGTTCCTGTACTCCTACAAACAAATCCAATAGAAGAAAGACTTACTGTAATGCAGTATTATTTGTATTTTTTTTATCATATAAATGCTGTTGAGCTTAAAGAAACTCGCTGCTGGTATGAATCAGAGCGATTTTGTCATGGCCATAGATGTCTCCTAGCAGCACGGAAACAGTTGTCTCCTTTTCTGTTGGCCCGCCTACGCAGGCTTCTTCAGGGAAGACTTTAACGCCGCCGATAACAGCAGAAGAAGCAGCTCTCATCATTCTGCTGAATTTATGTTTCCCCCACGTATACTCTTAGTCCCGGGTTTACAGTTCGGTAGGTGAAAATGCACCAGTCAGACGCTGCAACGCTTTTTGCACTGAGGGGGGGAAGATTTACTTTGTGCACACGTATACGGCTTTTCCATCATTTATTACAGCTGCCGCTTCTGGTTTTGGCTTCTGATTGAAGCTGACGTCTTAAAAGCTCGTTCTCTGCCTTTTAAACATTGATCCGGCGCCGGTCAGCCCCGCATTCAGGCTGCTCGTTCTGTCAACATCTCTCCCCCTGCGGCAGCGTATTCGCCATTAACTTCATCAATGTGCGTTGTGTGGGCTGTTTTTTTTTTTCTTTTTTAGCTTTGTGGATCTGGCCTGTGTTGCCAGCAGGAGGGAGCATGACAACACTGCGAAATAAAGGAGCCATATTTCTTTTCGACTGACGGCGTACAAGATATCAAATGCTAATGTTTTGACGTGAGCTGCTCTTTGAAGTTTGAACAAATCATTTCTTTTTATCCGTTTAAAGCTGAGTTTCTGCTTCCCGTTAAATTGTCTGTTTCCGTAAAGTGGTGTTAATGAGCAGTAACTGGAAAGAGGCACTGATATCTGAAATCTATTTTTAGATGGAATGAGAAGGACACGGGTCATTTCTTCATGTCGCCATTTTTGTAGTTTAGCCATTTTGATCTTTTCGTAGCTGAACGTCTGTTATGGGATGTTTTGTATCGATCAATTTGTATCAATATCATTTCTTTAGAATAGAGTTAAAGTGTGAAATTTGACCAATTTCTCCATCATTGATGAAAATAAGTGATACCAGTTTAATCAATGTTTATGAACTGGTTTGATATTGGTGTAAAATTCGCCTCTTTATAATTATTTCAAGGATGAAACAATAGATTTTATAGAAAGTTCAATTGGGAGCAAATTCTGATGAAATTCACTTTTTTTCTTTAAGACTTGAGTGATCGAGTTTTCTGTGTGCAATTAACTCGTTGCCCCGTTTTTGTGTAAATATAGCCAGCATACTTTTGCTCTTTGAACCACTGCAGAATGAATGAAAACCTCCCTGATAGATCATGATTATTTTGACGGTTTCCGACATGCTAAGGTAAACGGCTAATCTATTTTAAATTAAAATGTTTGGCCTGGTAATCAATAATGACAATAATTATTAAGCATGGCGTTAAGATCTCCCGGCAGCAGCTTTAGATCTAAAACGGCACTGATTCTGCGGCCTTGGAGCAGCAGCAGGTCTCAGGAGAAAACCTGTCCTGGTTCATTTTTTTTAAATGAACGAAACGGAGTAAAACGTAAATCACACGTGGGCAAGTATTTTCTTTAAATCAGGCAAAATCCTAGGTCTGCTTTTTTTCAGATGATTATTAATTGAGAATTTCTTATTGATTAGCAGTATTGGAGGGTCTAATTTAATTTTTGGCTCTCCCATCAGGGTGTCAGGCCATCAGGGGGCAACACAAGCACCTTAATGGGTTTGTTATTGCATTTTCAGACAGCGGGGAGTATAACCTTTTCGAAAATAAAACTACAATTATGTTGAAGAAAGAGGTATTTTACTTTTTTATGTGATCTCAACAGCAGCTAATCATCTGTAATTAAAATGAAGGCTTCTTGTATCTTATAAGCTACGCTATAATTATTTTTAGCTTTTAACCAGAAGTTAAGGAACATGTTGCCAAATGTGATTAAATTAGAACAGTTTTTATCTTCAAGTGCCACCACAGTATCAACGACCCATTCTGACATTTTAAAACTGATAAATTTTGGTTTCTTGAATAAAAAAAAGCTAAACAAACCAAAAATATTAATTAACCTCCATTGATGCTGTTTGATTGACTAAAAATGTCCTTTTTAGTCCAAAGCTGAAACTTCCAAAAATACATTTGTTAAAATTTCACAGAAAAGTCGCCAGAAGTTGTCATTTTAATGCCAGTAAGTCAATAGTTGCACACCAACTCTGATCTCATAATCCAAGATGGCTGACTGGCATACATGCACTACTACATGAGTGAATGCATAGTACTGTCTCTGAAAAACACAGACTGTAGAAAAAAAAGACAGGTCACTTACCTGAAGAGTTAGAAAATGCTTTCAGTTTCTGAACTCGTAGGTGGAACATCCTTGAATTTGATTCTCAAAGGTATTTTTTGACATCAGTAGCCATTTTATTCATCCTTACCACTGAATACAACTAAAGGAAGCTCAAGTTCAGGAAATATAAAGTGTGTGTGTCTAGACTGTGATACTAATATCCTGCACCACACTTTACTAACTACCTCTTCCCCTCTTTCTGTGTCTTGCAGGGCCGTATTTGCAGGAAATCAGGAAAGTCCAAGAAAGCTTTTAGTCGTAAAGAGGCTGAGGCCACATTCAAGTCCCTGGTGAAGACCCACGAGAAGTACGGCTGGGTGTCCCCGCCCATTTCCGACGGCTGAGTGTCCTGCCGCCATCCCTCCACCCGCCCGTGCTAGCCGGAGAGAAGAAGAAGAAAAAAAAAAAACAAGCTAGCCTCGACACGCAAAACAACACACCATGCTAACTCAAAAATGACTCATCTTCACTTTTGGCTGTTTCACTCAACGTTTTTTTTTTTTTTTTTTTAACTTTTTTTCATTATTATTGTCACCACACTACTACAGAAGCGTTTTGTTTTGTTCTTCACCGTCTTGTCCAGGGAATCTTTCTGCTAGCTCAGAAAGAGGCTGAAGAGCAAGGAGCGTGATATGAATGTTTCACTTTAAAAGAAATCAGCTGGGAATGTGCGTCACTTCCATCGGATTTATTTATTTGTTTTGTTGTTTTTTTTACTTGTTCTTTTCTCCCCCCCCTCCTCCCACAGCACACACTTATGTACGTGCAGCTGGACAAATCGGATATGCGAATTTTTTGTTCCACCCATGTGAAAGACTACTGAATAAAGGAGACTCATCTTTCTCACCAGTCCTCTCTTTAGCACTGAACTGGCTACAATCAACCATTCGTGTAGCTCTCGGGTCATTTACATACAAATTAAGCTGTTAATGTTTAATAGACGGGCAGTGCACTGGCATTTATACCCACTTGTTCCCTCATTCGTTTTTTCCCCCCTCTTGCTTTCGACTGTGCCGTTGCTCACGGTTCAATGCAACATAACGATTGTAATTTACATGGAGCTGTGCTCTTACTCTTTCTTCTTTAACTTGCTTTGTTTCTCTTTCTCTTTCCTTCTCTTGTGGCTAAACTTAGAGCTGTGTTGCATAGATGGATTTAAAAAAAAGTCACACGTTGCTTTATGCAGAGACCTTGTATGATAAACAGAATGACAGTCAGTCACCTTCTTTCTTTCTCTCTCTGCGTTCATGTTAGCTTGTCTTTAGGAGTGGAAGGAGGATATAATTCCCATGATTTAGATACCAGATGGTACAGCTGAAGGCCGGGCCTCAGTGTGTGTGTGTTTACGAAGAGACAACCCTTTAAACGGTGAAACACGTGGCTACGACTTGAAGGGAGCTAATTTCTTTAGCTAAACCACTAGCCGTCTTGTCCCACTGTCTATGTCATTACGTTAAACACGAGTGGAGTTTTAACCGTAGACGAGCTCTGTCGACCCTTCATGTAAAGAAGAAAATGTTAGCAGAAAACAAAAGAAAGGAAAAACCTTTTAGCTCCACACAGGCGTTTGACCTCACCGCAACGTTGACGGCGGCGCCGACGCCTCGAAGCGGGAGCTGTCGGGAGTGGAGCTGCGCTGTAAGTGAACGAATGCATCAGAGAGCTCCTGATTGATGCGGCGGGGAGAAAAGGAGGACGGGGAAGGAAAGAAGAAGAAGAAGAAGAAGAAGAAGAAGAAGAAGAAGAACGGAGGGAGCGAAGGGGAACTGAGCGTTCTTTGATCACTGCCGGCTGCTCTTAGGAAAATGTCAGGTGGCTTTGCAAAGCGGCTGAGCAATGGGTATTATTTGCTCTACCTGTTAAGTTCTCCTTTTGAAAGGAGTTTCTAGGCGTCGGAAATCAAGCGTACAGCCACAGTATCAGTCATGGGCCTTCTGGGCAGAGCGTCCGTCCCTCCGTACGGTCCGGTTTGTTTTGCTACGTTCCAGGTAAATGTCAGAGGAAAGGCCGCTAATTGGTCTGACATTTCCGCAGACCGTCATTAGAAAAGAGCAGCAGGAGGACGGAGGACGTCAAGCTTCGCGGTTGGCACTGACATATCGTCGCTTTTCTCTCATTTCGCTTTCGAAGCGAGGGAGCGGCTAGTTCGTGGTCAGAGCTAAAATGATAAGTTCGGACGGGCCGAATCGTGGTTCGCGGCGATAGCAAACATCCGTGAGCAAAAAAAAAAAAAAAAACGTCAACGGAGACAGAAACAGCGATACACCATCTGGTATGTGATCATGTTCGAAAGCGTGCTAGTGTTTTGTTTTGTTTGTTTTTTTACGAGTTCGGCTCGTCATTTCAGACAAAACTGTAATCTGAATAATTGTTACAACAAAATATCTCAAAAGCTGAGTGTTTGCTGGTTCCAAGAGAAACCTTTTTTGTGACATAGTTTAGACTGGTAGTTTGCAGAAACTAACTGGGTGAACTGACTATTTGTAATATATCTGCATGTGTTACGTGATTGGTAGCTAGCTACTGTATATCGTTTTTCAAGAAAAAGCAAGAAAAACACAGAGAAAACAAAAATGCAAATGCTTCTCTTTTCTTTTTTTATTTATATTAATATTTTTTTGTTCTTTTTTTTTTAGTCCTGTACTGTATGGACTTTCTATTCCTTTCTAAATGTCCTGAAAAAAAAGTCACATTGTGTTACATGAATGTTTGTGTTTTAATTTATTTGTGGTTTGCCAAAATGATGATTTGAAGCATGTTGCAGGAATTGTCACCGGAAAATGAGAAGAAACAAACAAAAAAAAGTAAAAAAAGAAAAAAAAAAAGATAGCTTATGTATTTGTGCGATAGGGGGAAGGTGTGTTTTCGTCAGGGGCGTGAAAAAAAGATTATGGGAGTGCAACACATTCACTCGCTCCTTCCTGTTCCCCTCTGTAACGTCACCACTGCCCCTTCCCCATTGGTCCTAATCGACACACTGATTTGGCTCGAGTGTGATGCAGTCAACACAGCCTGGACGCAGGCGACCCTTAGCAACAGATCTAGGATCAGTAACTTCTCCAGAGAATCTGACCCGTGATCCGCTTACTTGCGAGCAACTTTTTTTTTTTGTGTGTCCCACTCCTACCTTGAAAGCGTTTGGTCAGAGACCGAGGTCTTAAAAAGTTCAAAAGGTGAAAGGTCGTTGCAAGACCAAACAGGAATGTGCAATAAAAATGACATCTTACTGAAACCCGACTGATCTGGTGGTTTTGTTTCTTATTTGGAGTCCCGAGCTACACTTTCATGCATTTTAATGACCCACTTCAGGTTGCTGTGTCCTCTGCCCGGCCTCCCCTGCATTGTCCCACTTTTGTGGTGGGTGGGGGCAAAGCTTAAAAACCCCCGTCGGTCTAGAAAAGGGCTGGAAGTACCAGCCCTCTGTGCTTTTATGAGCCGCTTTGTCCAGCCTGATGGAGATTTGCTGTTCCTTCTGTGCGAACAGAGCACCATACCAGTCCATTTTCGTGGTTGGGGGGCGGGGGGGCAAAAAGTCTTGTTTGCACAAGTGATGGGGAGACGTTTTTTGGACTGAATGTATAATTCAGGAACAGTGTGAATTATGTGAATTGCAACGATCGTATTCGAAACTATACTGGATTGGAACACCAAAGAAAATGATGAATGGTGTGTGCTAAAAGAACAACAACGTATCAAAGTGTCTGTCTTGTTGACAGTTGATTGTTGTAAAAAAAAAAAACAATAAAAATGGCAGTTTTGTGTTTTTCATTTTTGAGTATGATAATCAAGTATTTGTAAAATACTGGAATCCTTAATTCATCTTTAACCCTCCTGCGGTCTTAAGAGTTGAGGACATTTGTTTGTTTTTTACTCTGTGCTCAGTCCAGGGAGATCAAAATACTTTTATGAGGTTTTTTTTTGTGTGTGTTGTGGTTTCGGGAACCGACAGTCTGACAGGACAACCTGCCCCCTAACTTAACCGCTGTCCGATCGTGACATTTGCCATGCTTCTTCCCAAGTGTCGCGCTAAAACTGTGGGAGGGTTAAAAAGTAATGCAGTTGGAACCATTCTTAGGTTGCAGGAAGGAGGTCATTGGGATCAAACCAACCCTGGAGTCTGCCTGTATAGGGTTTTGATGTTCACCCCGTGGCTCTCCAGTAAAATAAACCGGTTAGGTTAGTCGATCTCTATAAGGTGTACCCTAGGATTGACTAATAAATGCTGGAAATAGACACTTGCCTTTCATGACCCTACAAGGATAATTGGGTGTTGATATTGAAACTGCATGAATCTATCATTGAGAAATTTTTATAATCTAACTTTTAACTCTAGTGCATTTATTCATCTTGCAAATAAATAACCCCAAATAATTCTCCAAAATACATAAAGTTAATCTCTGAATTCAAACCCTGAATTTCTGCTTCATTTTTTAAGTTGATCAGATTGTCTGGTAATCAGTAATCCACGACTTCCTGTTTCCATAAGGTCTACTTGTGACATTAAGCAAAGGCTATTTTCTCCTAGCCACTCTTCAGAAATTAAGGTGCATTTCTAGTACAAATGTGTGTAAATCTTTGTATGTATTCTGCCAATGTTGGAAAAAACACAATTTCCCAATTGGGGCGTTTCCATTGAATAGGAAATGAAACTAAATCACAGGTGAATAACTTTGTTCATGCATCACTGCCATGAAAAGTCATGGCAGTGATGCATGTACACAGTTACATGAGATTATATTCCTAATTCAGTCATGGCGCTCATCATCTATCAGTCATCAGAGGAATAGGCGTCTTTACAGGCATTTTAGCAACAAACCCTTTATACTTGGGACCGGCTACATTTTGGGCAAATTCTAGTCGGTGATTTTATATAAGAGCTATGGCTTCAACAGGTTTGAATGATGAAAATTTGTATGAACTGTGGCATGCTGCGAGAGCTCTGGTGGAGCCAACTGAACATTGTCTGAAAAAACAAACAAACAAAAAACACCAAACCATCATCATCCTGCTACTTCCTGCTGACTGTTGTTTTTGGCATTAGTAACAGCCAGCTGTTGATCACTCGTGTGGTGTGAAAAAAAATGCTCCCATTGCGAACTACATCTTCCTCCACACAACCAAAAAAACCACCTCATCCCAGCGCAGAAAAACTTTTTTTTATCAAAAACCATGAGTTTTTTTGAAAATGGCGCGTCTTTGTTAAGCAAATGTATTTTTGGAATTTCAATTTGTGCAATTCCACGTTAATGATGGCATATGTGTTGACCTTCCTTAACCATGAGGGTTAATGAAATTTTGTAGATTTAGGGGCCGTCTACAAAAAACGGCTACTTGCATGAACATCTAAATATCTGCAGTCAGTGCCATAGTTCAAAACAAACAAAAAAACATCTGGAACGAGGCTGGATGAAAACCCAAATTTATCTTGCCTTCATGTGAGCTGAATGGTATTAAGG